TCTCCTCCAAACAAAAAAAAAAAAAAAAAGGCAGGGCAGACTCGGTACGGTTTTCCCGATGCTAGATAGCGGCAAAACATGGCCCATGCATGCCTAGGACAGGCATGTATGTGATCCGTGCCTTTTTTTTTCCCTTTCCCTCGTGGCCTGACCCCCGGGACTTGTCCACCAAGATGCAGGGCCTGGACTGCGATCGATTCTGATCTACGAAAGAAGGTGAAAGGAAGGAAGGAAGGAGGAGGAACGGGGGTGGACCGGGGGGGTCTTGGACCCTGGATTTACTGTCGTTGTCTGTGTGACCCGAATGCCGCCCGCAACTTTGTTTGATCGCGACAATGCGTAGGGCTCTCGGGCCTTGCTGCCGGTAGACCCGAAGTGCCGATCGCTGGGGGGCTCGGATGTGAAGATGGGGGGATGCGCGGAGATGGTAGACAGGCACACATGGCACACATATAGGTACATAAACATACAACAAACACACATACACACATGCATACAAACCTACAAACACCCCAAGATGGAAACGCGGTCCGCCTCAGGGCTAGGCAGAGTCCCTTGTATATTGGCAACGCCCGGACTCCTATTTTCTTCCCGACACAAAAGGACCGTCGAGCGGAATCTGCTGGGCTGAGACACTCGGGGACGCTCGATGCTTGTGGGAGCATTCGAGAGGTGGCGGGTGCGGGAGGACGTGCGGTTCTTGACGCTGACCAGTCCACTGGATCAGAGCAGTGGATTAGAGCAGAAGGGAGTTGGGTGGTGGTGATACTACGGGGTGTGTGCGTACGTGTTCCTCAGCCAGCCTGCTAGCTTTCTCCTTTGTGATGTGGGAGGGGAGGGGCGGGTGCGTTCACGACGCTTGGTGACGACTGTGTTCCCCCGATAAACGAGGGGCGGGATACTTTCTCCTCGATGCTTCATGATTAAGCTCTCCCCAGGGCGCCGTCCGATGCCGTCCGGGTTGGGTTTGGCCGTTGGGGAGAGATGGGATGATGTTGCAGCGAGGGTAGGGGGGCCACATGGGACTGGGGCATGGGAGTCAGACCTGGAGCCCAAGACCTGAGGCCCAAAACCTCTCTCGACGGAATGGACTGGTGCTTGGATTGATTGTTGGCTCGATTGGGCAGTCTTGTCGTCGTCGCTGTCTTCTTTGTCTCGGATTTGAAAGCGAATTCCAGCTTGTTGGGTAGCAGTCTCTTTCTCTCCGTCTCTCCAGTCTCCAGGGCTCCACACGGTGCAGTGTGCCTTGGCCAAAATGTCAGGTAGTAAAATGTGGGATGGGTGTTTGACCGTTGGCTGGCGTCTCGAGTAGGGAACTCTTTCCTGTTTTGCAGAAATAATGATGCTGCCCCAAAGGATCAAAACAACAAAAATTGGATTGCAGGCTGCAGGCTGTCCTGTGGTGTCCTGCAAGAGTGGCACCCGCACATCAAGGCCCGACGACATGACGGGACGGGTTGGCCTAAGCTCCAGCGGGCAGCATCAGGCGGCCCAATCACTAGGGGAGGATGCCAGGGTCCCCGGGCCAGGGCCTGACGCCACAGTGCGTAATGGGGTGGGATCGCCCGTACAGATCTGAGTGAGGGATCGGCAACCGGCACGCTGGAAGGAGCGAGCCAGGGGGGCCACTTTTACAACCTGTGGAGAATCGAGGGTTGAGGACGCAAGCAGGTTTTTTTTCCCTCCCGCTTCTTTGTTCTGTGTGACGATGCTGCGGAAGGACGACCAAGTCGAGGGTCAAGGTTTGCCGAGGGGATTGCAATTGGGAAAGAAGGGTCTCGCTCGTGCACCTGTCACTCTGTTACTGATGGCTTTTTGCCCTTTGCAGATATCTGTTCGCCGCCCTTGAGCCAGGATTAGAGCAAGAGCAGTCCATCCCGTCTCCATGTCAGTTAGCCGTCCCAGGTGGAGGGAGGAACAGCACGCCAGCAGCAGCCAAATGCAGTATGACGGAAAGCAATATGGTACAGTCTTGGGCTAGTGCAGCCCCAGCGTTACCAAGTCCTAAAATGCTATTCCGATCGCATTTCCCCCGGCACGTCCATGGAATTTGCATTTGCGGCCCCTCCTAACGTGACGGGAACAACAAAGCCAGCTCAGCAGTCAACGACGTGAGCCATTTTGGGATAACCGGGAACCAGGGCAAGAAGCAGCAGCTGGCTGACCTAGCTGGCTGACCTAGCTGGCTGACCTAGCTGGCTGACCTAGCTGGCTGACCGCCCGAGTTGCACGACGGGGCAGGGCGTGGGGCGGGGGGGAGACCTGAGATCGAGAGGGGAAAAGAGGGCGCAACGTATCCACAACTACGTCTGGCACTGTATCCCACCCGTACCAAAGCCAGCCCAAGTTTGGTGCCAGCCAAGGCAAAAAGACGAGAAGGAGCTCCACATGCACAAGCGACTCGCTGAACAGAACCGCACCAGTGCTCCTGCCTGGCCTGCACCCTCGACCAATCCCAGGCAGTCAATGGCGTCAGGTTGCCGTGCGTGTGCTTTCCCTCATCCTCGACACTTGCTTCTGGCTCTGCCTGAGTGTGCGTCTGTCTGCCTCTTGCGTCCACCACAGTGTGTTTTCGGGTCTGGTGTCGTTCTGCTCGCCAAGCTGGCTGCCAGAGAAACATCAGTATACCGCTGATACCTGGCACACTGCCTGACCTTGCACACCACCGCCCGACCGCACTCCCCCTCCTCGTGCGTCCCGACTCCCCCACACGCCCCCCCTTTGACCCAGCCCGCCTACCCTCTTGCCTCGCAACCTGCCACCAGCCGGCGCATCACCTCTCCCGCCTGCCCAAACTATATCCGCCTGCCAATCCCGTGCCGGCAACAAAAGGGCCCCTGCCAGACCATTCTCCCCGGCGACGTCTTCAATCGACGCCTGTCGACTGCTCCAGACCGACTCGGTCCATCCTCACGTCTGCCAACTCTGCGCGAACCGAACGCTAAAAAAAATAGACCCTCTGGTCTGTTGCTGGGTCTGCCCGCGACGCGACCCACGCAGCTCTCTGCCTGCTTCTGCTCTGCTGCTCCGCGCCCGCCCAGAATCCGACTTCGATCCCGCTAAGCTCCCTCTCAGACGACCTCTGGCTGGCCCTCCTCTGGTTCCAGCCCGCACCTTGGGTCCATCCATCCATCCATCCATCCGGCCTGGACCTCGCCGGCCAGAAGACGGCGAGCCGCCAAAGCGCATGCCGGAATTGACTTCGCTCCCGCCACAGCACCGAATTACCTTTGCCGCCTGCATCTGCTGCTGCAAGCCACTGCATTGCCCGACCACCTCGATCCTCGCTTCCTGAACCTACCTGCTGCCGCCCCGACCTCCTCCTCGTGCTGCTGCTGCTGCTGCTGCTACTGCCGCACTGTCCTGTGCTGCCGAGTCCGCCCGCCGACTTGACCGCACCGCCGAGGGCGCGAGGGAAGAAAAAAAAAGGAGGGCGGAAAAGTGGAAACGGGTGTCACGCACTACAACACAAGGCCGGGGGATCAAACGCACGGGCTGTCTTGCTTGGCGCATTGGAAAAGAGGTGGAATAATCTGGCGATAAGCACAGAAGCAACGAGTTGGCTGCAACCGATGCCAAAGGTAGAAAGAGATACCTGAATTCTCCCCAGACGCTGCCCCAGGGACCAAGAGTGGGAAAGAGATACCAGAGAGGAGCGAGAGGGAACAAAAGACAAAAACACACAAGAAAAGCGAGACAAGAGTACGAGGCCGTTCGAATTCTGGTGGATGACGAGCACATCGCTGTGACCGCCCACCACCCCAAGGTCCAGATCCATCACCCGCCATCAGTCCGCCCCTTTTTCTGCTCTCGACCGCCCCTTCCCAACCTCCGCGCTCCGCGCCCCGTTTCCTCCCAAGCCCGGGACCCAGACTTGTCCATCAACAGCCCTCAAGTCTTGCCCGGCGCCGAAGTCTCGCTTCCCACGTCCTGCATCGTGAGAGCAGGCTGGCCATCTCGACCGGTCTGGTCTCGCTTGCGTCTGTCTCTTCTCCCCCTCTTTCTTATACGGGGCAACTTTTTTCCGGCGCCGCCCCCTCGCCCCCTCGCCCCAACGATCGAGTAGGCAGCAGTCCGGTGTGCAGACATGCCGCCGCCGCTGAATGGCGACATGGCCGCCCCGGGCGGCAACAACTCTAGCGATTTTGTATGACGACCCCCTCCCTCGCAGTGCTTCTTTTTGTCCGGGATCATCGGCCCGTATCAACCCTAGCAGTATCCATGGCTTTTTCTATTCCTGTTGTTATTCCTGTCTTCCTATTGTTATTTCTTTAGCAGCCTTTTTGATGTTTGGTGGAACTGCCGTCCTTTTTGTGGTGGGTGTGGCTGGCAACGTGTGGGATGCGTCGTGATCAAGCCACCACAGCTTCGTCGTCGTGGTTCTGTGTGTCTGTGCTGACAATATCGTCCTAACCAGGTTCGGAAACTGTACAAGTAAGCAAGCAATGGCTCCGGCCGCCAGTAACGACTGGTCAAGCGTCAGCTTTCTTCCAGGGACCCCTGGCCCCTTTGACTGACAAGGCGTTGGAAACAGAATGTTGGAAGACCCCGTGTACGATGAAATAGTGCGATGGGGAAATGACGGCGACAGCTTTGTCGTGCTCGAGGTAAGTATTTCACGACTTTGGCCTTGTGCGCAGGCCAGGCTTCTGACAGGGGACAACAGAATGAGAAATTCACCAAGACGATTCTGCCCAAGCACTTTAAACACAGCAACTTTGCTAGTTTTGTGCGGCAGCTGAACAAATACGACTTCCACAAAGTGCGGCACACGGAAGACAACGGTGCCGCGCAGTACGGCCAAGGGGTATGGGAGTTCAAGCACCCCGAATTCAAGGCCAACATGAAGGACAACCTCGACAACATCCGAAGGAAGGCGCCCGCACCGAGAAAACAGACTGCCGTGGTGGACGACAGCTTCCCCAACAACCAGCAAGTCTCGCTCATGAACGAGTCCTTGTCAGCCGCGCTGCAGCAGGTGGCGGGCCTGCAGGACCACTACTATCAGGTCGTGGCGACCAACAAGCTGCTTGTCGAGGAGGTCTTGAGCCTGCAGAAGACGGCCAAGGCGCAGAACCAAGTGCACCACGAGCTGCTCAACTTCCTCGACAACCTGGACGAGCGCCGTCGGAACAGCAAGCACGCGAACCAGTCGAACCCGGGCCAGGGTTTCCACTCGGGTGGGCTCGGCATGCTCCCAGACAGCGGCGACGAGCCGGCGCCCGAGCTGCGCCGCGCGCGCGAGACTCTGCTGAGCGTGGCCTCGGCGGTAGACAGCCCCAACTTTGGTAAGGAACTCGAGAGACTATCGCTGGCCTTCCAGAACGTATCGTCGCCGCCCGAGTCCACCACGTCGTCGACGGCCATGTTCCCACAGCAGAGCCTGGGCTTGTCCATGCCCATGTCGGCGGACCCGTTCCACGACGTCAAGCACCTCGTCTACCCCATGGGGCAGAACCAGGGAATCGACCCGTTCCACGCCGACCATATCCACAACATCCCGTACACGCAGCCGCCCATGTCGCAGGCCATGGAGGCCACGAGCCAGATAACGCCCCCGCCTCAAGGCGCCGCGGGGCAACCGAGCATATGGGTCAAAAGACCCTACATCCTGCTGGTCGAGGACGACAAGGTGTGCGCTAGGATTGGTGCCAAGTTCTTGATGCAGTATGGGTGCCAGGTTGACACTGCCGTAAGTTTCCCTCTGATTCTCGTTGCGATTTCGTCGGCGCGTCTTCTTCGGCGCGTGGTTCGTGAGAGTGGCTGCTGACGAGTCTCGTTCGCGACTGCAGGGCGATGGTATGGAGGCTGTCGGGCTCGTTAACACGGATCCGAATCGGTACCACCTGGTCTTTATGGACATCATCATGCCCAATTTGGACGGCGTTTCGGCAGCTACGTGCATCCGTACCGAGAACCACACAGGCGTCCCGATTGTGGCCATGACGTCCAATATCCGACAGGAGGACATCGCGACCTATTTCAACTTTGGTAAGTGCGGCGGTCTGACCCAACCCTCTGCAATGCTTCAAGGGAAAACGAACTGACCAGGGTGGGTGCGCCGCAGGCATGAACGACGTCTTGGCCAAGCCCTTCACAAAGGAGGGCATGATCCGAATCCTCAAGAAGCACCTGGCGCACATGTACAAGAACCCGCAAGAGGAAGGTTTGTACGCCGAAGTGATGCCATCGCAGCAAATGTCCACCATGGCCTTTGGGCCGGGCTCGTCGGGAGGCCCCATGAGCATGGCCGCCCTGACGGCGAACCCGGCAGTTGGGGGGCCTCCGCCACAGGGACAAGCCCACAGCGTACAGCACGCGGGCGGGCCCCCAGGCCACCACGGTATCAAGTTCGACGGGGGCGCCCCGCCCATGCATTCGCCGTCGATCAAGTTTGAAGGAGGCTCGGGTAGCGCGGGGCTGCACTCGCCCTCGACAACGGCAGGATCGTGGAACTCGCCGGGGACCATGTCGCAGACGTCGCCAGCAGTAGTAGACGCCAGCGGCGGCCAAGCGGGCTACATGACGGCGGGGAGCGGCGGAGGCCCCATAGCGCTGACGCCGGGCGGGTCTCAGCGGCCGGGCGGCTTCGCAGCCATCATGGCGCCACAGGTCGGCACGCCACCAATCCCGAGGATGCCCGACGGCCAGCCCGACGACAGGCCGGAAAAAAGACAGCGCATGTACGGTGGGGCGGCGGGTTTCCCATAGGCTGGGCAACGTCGGGCGGCTGACTGCTCTTTTTCGCGACTCTTCTTCTGCACTCTTCTTCTCGGTCTTCTTCTCGACACTTCTCGACTCTTCCGTAGGATATCGTCTTGAGCCGCCTGTTGCGCTGCTCCGTCCCATGGCTGTCGCGGTTCCGTTTCGGATGCTCGACCGGGGGCGTTGTTCTTTCGAGTTGGTGATGCCATGATTCCCGTCGCGCCGTCGCGCTGTCGACACAAACTTTTCCTCCCCCTTTTTTCTTCTTTTCCTCCTGTTTTACCCCCAACGAAAACCACAGATTTTTTCAACAAACTCTCATGATGACGAGGGCGGCGTTGGGCTGGTGTATTTTCTCTCGTTTTTTCTCCCTTCGGCTCATTCGCTTTTTGGATGGGACGGTCCTGCGGGTGCCTGGATCTTTGGTTGCCTGTTGCAGCATCCGGCATTGCTGTCTTATTGGATACCGTCTATCTTTCGTGTATATTCTTTTGGCGATGAGGAGTTTGTCGTGCCTTTTGGATAAGGGTGCGCGGTGTGGGTGGTTCCGTGTTCTAGCACTGGATGCCCGTGGCAAGAAAAGGGTGAACTGAACGGGCAAGAAGGGGTACGGGCAAATCAGGGGAAATATTCCGGTAATGACGGAAGGTGAGAGGTATAAGGCAGAGGATTGATTAGCAAGCTGCCCCGCCAGGGATGGGCCTTGGTCAAGCGTTGAAAGGGCGGGCAGACAGACCATCTAGGCGCTCCAGCTCAGCTCGAGAGAGTATGCTGGGCAAAATGCGACAGCGAGAATACGTCAATACGTCACTCGACTCAGAGATGATACAGACAGAGTCCGGGGTAACTAACTCCCGGTGATGTTTGATCTGAGAAGACTGGAATGTCCGGTCTGGTCGTGCACGCCCACCACAAAAAAGATGGCAGTCCCGCCTAACATTAGACGTGCCATGTACCCCTCCCCTCGTCTTTGCTCGCTTGGCCGACTGTCTTGGAATGAGGCGGGAAGAAGGAAGCCGTTGTGGGTTATGGCATGGCATTGCATGGCAACAGCGTGTCGGCGACGTTCGAGGTGTGTCTAGCGGGCTGGGGAAGCGGGCAATGTCTCGCGGAGGGAGGCTGCTCCGTTTGGTCTCGCCTTGGAAGAGGGATGGATGTGTGATTGTGCCAGCAATTCCTTTGCGGGCGAGCAGACCTGTTTTTGTTTTGGTTTGGCCACTGGGTAGGGGAAAAAAAAAAGTAAAACAGGAAGGCGAAACAGAGAGAGAGAGAGGGTTTCCAAGGGGAACGGGGTGGCGTTGCGGTTTACTTTCAGGAACAGGGAACCTTACAAGACGGAGCTGCAGATAGGGTTCGAGCGGCAGACAGCGAGATGGGATGGCAGGAACGCTGGTTCTTGTGACGGACAGGAGGACCGGCAGAATTGTTTGTTTGGCGGGGGAGGCCGTCTTGACTTTGTCGGTGGTAGTGTATCATGCGAGGCCCACCGTTCTCGGGCTAGAAGATCCAGAAGAGGACGATGTGGTATCGTTGGAGAGGGCCGCTGGCGAAGGGGGAGAGAAGAGGAGGAGATCTCAGGGTGGGTGACGATATGGGTTGCTCCAGCGTGTTAGGGTTTGGTGGTGTTTTATGCTTTGGGCGCTAGCTGGGGCAAGGCTGATGGATGACAAAAGCAAAAGACGCTGCAAGGGGAAAGATGACCAAGAGAACAAACCAAAAAAAGGGGGAGGAAAGGCAGAACAGGGGAAAGCGAGTGGAAATGTAGTGCAAGGAGAGGAGTCGGGATGACGAGTTCCCCTTATCTCGGCCAAGCCACAAAATGCCCGCCCCGTTGGTGGACAGAAAAGCGAAAGAAGAGACACGAGGAGAAAGCCCGGCCGAAAGAAGCGCGGGCTTGGGGCTATAAGATAAGAGGAAAAGGGGGGAATAGAGAAGGGGAAAAGAAGAAGAAAAGAAACAAGACAGGGCAGGGCAGCCGCCCCAGACCCGCGGGCCTAGGCGGGCCTTTGCGTCGTGCGTGCGTGCTTTGCTTGGCTGGGCCGTTTTGGCTGGTGCGCCCGCTTCCGGGGGTGGTGAGGAGGACGCATCACCAGCAGCGAGCAGCAGCAGCCGCCGCCCACACACACCACCCCTCCAGCTGGCCCCACACCCCTGTTCTGTGGTGCTTTGCATGCAGAGAGAGTTGGATGGGGCTACCCTTTTTAGGTTCCCATGTTCTTTTTTCGTCCCCATGGAGCGGTGGGCTCCGTGATGGATGACGAGGCACGGTCTGGTTGGGGAAGAAAAAAGCCAAGAAAGAAGGCCGACGAATGAGCGGCTGGGTTTGACGACGGGCGAGGAAAGCGAAGAAGGGAGCGAGAGAGGGCGCGAGAGGGGACAGGAGAGAGAGAAGAGAGAGAGCAGGCAAGCAAGGGTGGGCTGGCGCTGGTTGGTCTGGCCCTCCACGCTGGGGCCCGTGTAACGGCAACGGCGGGATGGACCAAGGGGCTAACGGGGGTCCATCGTGGTCTGGACCGCGGGCCTGCCACGCAACGTCTTGGTCGTCTCGTGGCCATGATTCCGCCGGGTTTTTTTTGTGTCTAGTTGATCTTGTTGTTTGTATCGCAATGATTTCTCACCGCTTTGATTTTTGATGGAGTAGACGGAGCAATTGCACGGCAATAAAACTGCCAAGATTGAGGATGGCGACAGCGGCAGTGACTGTGGCTGTGACGGAGCAACATACGATCAACACCCAACTCAGCTGGCGGTGAGGCCATCTCTCGCTTGCGACGGCTAGCTTACAGCTCTATTTTGGTCGTGCCGTCTTTTCAGGGTCCAGGCAAGCCACAGCGCCCAGCCTCGGTTTCGGACGTTGTGGACGTCTGTCAGGCGGCTGGCTTTGAATTGGGCAAGAGCAAGAGCACTTGAGCTCAAGTGGGGCAGCTCTCACCACGGACGGCAGTGGTGCGGGGCAGAGTCGGTCCCTGATTGAGTCATCGATTGGACGCTACACCAACAGCGAACAGCGTCATCGTCGACTTTGACCTCTGCCGCCCCTCCCTCGGCTCCCACGCAAAAACTCAGGCAAAACACAAACACAACGCACAGCCGCCCACCATGTCCAAGGCTGCCAAAGCCGCCGGCCAAAAGGCCAAAAAGGCCGGCGCTGAGGAGAAGCGCGAGGACGTGCTGCAGGCCGTGGTGCTGGCCGACTCGTTCCAAGACCGCTTTGCGCCCTTTTCGCTTGAGCGCCCGCGCTGCCTGCTCCCGCTGGCAAACACGCCCCTGATCGAGTACACGCTCGAGTACCTGGCCATGAACGGCGTCGCCGAGGTCTTTGTCTACTGCGGCAACCACACGGACCAGGTCGAGCAGTACATCGCCGACTCGCCACGCTGGAGCCCCTCGGGTCGCCGTAGTCCCTTCTCGCTGCTCGAGTTTGTGCGCGTCAACGACGCCTCGTCGCCCGGCGACTTTTTGCGCGACCTCGACGGCCGCGGCTTGATCTCGGGCGACTTTATCCTCGTACACGGTGACCTCGTCGCAAACATTCCGCTCGACGCCGCCCTGACGGCCCACCGCCGCCGCCGCGAGGCCAACCGCGACGCCATCATGACCATGGTGCTGCGCGAGAGTGGCAAGTCCACCGCCCACCGCACAAAGTCCCAGCCCGTCACCCCCGTCTTCGCCATCGACGCCGCCGACGGCCGCTGCCTGCACTACGAGGAGCTGAGCCCCGGCCAGGCCGACCGCTACGTCCGTCTCGACCCGGCCGTGCTCGAGCACGGCACCGTTGAGCTGCGCGCCGACCTGATCGACTGCGAGATCGACATCTGCACCCCCGACGTTCTTGCCCTCTGGTCCGACAGCTTCGACTACGAGTCGCCCCGCCGCAACTTCCTGCACGGCGTCCTCAAGGACTGGGAGCTGAACGGCAAGCTGATCCACACCGAGGTCGTCTCGCGGGGGTACGCCGCCCGCGCCGCCAGCTTGCGCCTCTATGAATCCGTCACGCGCGATGTCGTCGGCCGCTGGGCTTTCCCCATGGTGCCCGACAACAACCTGGTCCACGGCCAGGACTACTCGCTACGCGCCGGCTTCGTCTACGCCGAAAAGGGCGTCAAGTTCGAGGCGGGAAGCCACGTCGACCGCTCCGTCGTCGGCATGAAGTCGGTGGTTGGCCCCGGCAGCACCGTGTCCAACAGCGTCGTCGGCTGCAGGTGCTACATCGGGAGCAACGTCGTTATCGAGGACAGCATAATCTGGAGCGACGCCACCATCGAGGACGGCGCCGTCATCAAGAGGTCTATAGTGGCCGGGTCTGTCACTATCGGCAGGGGCTGCACCCTCCCCGAGGGCTCGCTCGTCTCGTTTGGTGTCCACATTGGTGACGGCGTTTCGCTGCCACCAAAAACGACACTCTCACTGCTCACCCACGACCGTGTGCTGGCGGATTCCAACAAGACTTTGCTGGGTCCGTCGGGCAAGGGTGCCGTGTACAAGTATGACGACGACGACGACCAAGGCGATGAAGAAGACGTGGATGAGCTGGATCCGGCAGTGCTCCAAAGGTCATTGATCTACTCGCTAGAGCACCTCAACATCTCCTCCTCGTCCATCTCATCATTCGACTCGGTCTTTGACGAAGACGACGACGAGGCCGGTATGGGAGCCGGCCCCGGGGGTCTGAGCGTCCCGCACGGCGAGAGGCACATGTCCTTCTCGTCGGTCAACTCGGGCGGCAGCGGCGGCGAGGGCGTCAGGTCTACGTTCCACACCGACGCCGTCACCAGCCTCGTCGAAGCGCTCCGGTCCGAGGACGCGTCGGACCTGGACGCGGCCAAGCTCGAGTTCATGGGCCTCCGGCTCGCCAACGACGCCTCGGACGCCCAGGTCCGCCGCGCCATCGCCACGGCCCTGGTGCGCACCGCCGTCGAGCTCATGACGCTGCCGGCCGCCCCGCTCGAGCCGTCCAAGGCGGCCGAGCGCGCCCTCAAGGCCAAGAAGGGCACGGCAAAGTTCGTCGCCGAGGTCGGCGTCGGCGAGGACCAGCCCGCCTTTGCGCTGGCCCTGCACAAGGCCGCCGCGGGGAGCAGCGTCGTCGAGCCCGCCCGCGCCGGCGCCCTGCTGTCGGCCCTGCTGCAGCAGCTGTACGCGGCCGACGTGCTCGAGGACGACGGCATCATGGCCTGGTGGGAGGCCTCGGCCGACGCCGTCACGGCCGCCAGCGGGCCCGGCGGCGGCGAGCGCATGGCGGCCGTGAGGGAAAAGTGCCAACGGCTGGTCGAGTGGCTGCAGGAGGACGACGATGACGACGATAGCGATGAAGATGACGATTAGAGGGGGAAAAGGACGCCACAATAAGAAGAATCTAGTCAAATAGAAAAAAAGAAAGAAAAAGAAAAGAAAAGCAAAGCAAAGGAAAACAAGAGGGAATGGGAGACAGGAGTTACCAAAAGGAAGGGCATGGGCACATTAACAACGTACATAGGGAGCAGGCAGGGTTCTTTAGGCATATTCCATCGACATCTGGGACGGCTCAAACCACCACAAGGCATTTCAACTCAAGTAAATTTGGCAGATGCGACGCGAATTTTATACAGAAAAGCCGACTGGCCACAGTCCCGGATTCATAAAACCATATAAAACACCATAGTCCGCCCGCCCATCCTCATTCCTCCTCGGCGCGGGTTCCCGAGGCTGTTGTACCTCGCAGACCTCGGCCTGACTGCGCCCGTCATTATCCTACTGCAGCCCTCGCTGTCCCTTTCCGTGCTCTCGCCCCAAAAGCGTCATGATAAAATTTGGTTTATTCACGGGGCCACCCCCGGATCCTTTATTTTTTATTGCCGTCGCTGGACGCCCGAGAGGCGTTGCGACCTTTTGTTTGGTTGGGGTTTGTCGTGCGTGTCCAGCACCAACTTATTTGGCGTTCTTCTTGGCCATAGTGTTGAGGGCGCTACCGTTGTTGAACCACTCAATTTGGCCCTCGTTGAACGTGTGCGACAGCTTGACCTCGAACGTCTTGCCGTCCTTGGGGTGCACCCTCAGCGTCATTGGCTTGCCGACGGCGAGCTCAGTGCACAGCAGGTCGACCTTGTCCTCGGGCTTGATCTTGTCGTAGTCGGCGGGGTCAGAGAAGGTAAGGGGCAGCATGCCCTGCTTCTTCAAGTTGGTCTCGTGGATACGGGCAAACGAGCGCGTGATGATGGCCAGGCCGCCCAGGTGGCGTGGTTCGAGGGCGGCGTGCTCGCGCGACGAGCCCTCACCGTAGTTCCAGTCGCCAATCACGACCCACTTGGCGCCCCTGCTCTTGTAGTCACGGGCCGTGGCGGGCACCGCGTCGAACTCGCCCGTGAAGGCGTTCTTGATCTTGTTGGCCTCGCCGTTGGCCTCGTTGATGGCGCCAATCAGCATGTTGTTGGAGATGTTGTCCAGGTGGCCGCGGTACTTGAGCCACGGGCCGGCCATGGAGATGTGGTCCGTGGTGGTCTTGCCATGCGCCTTGATCAGGATGGGCAGGTCCAGCGCGTCCTTGCCGTCCCAGGCCTCGAACGGCTGGAGCAGCTGCAGGCGGTCCGACGAGGGGGCAACGGCGACCTGGACCGAGGCGCGGTCAACAGGAGGGGCCTGATACGTGTCCTCGCCGGCGTCGTATCCGCGCTGGGGGAGGCTGTCGCCCGTGGGGGGCTTGAGCTTGAACTCCTTGCCGTCCTTGCCCGTGAGGGTGTCGGTCAGGGGGTTGAAGCTGAGCCTGCCGGCAACCGTCATGGCGACGACCAGGTCGGGCGAGGCGACGAACGAGTGGGTGGCGGGGTTGCCGTCGTTGCGGCCCGTGAAGTTGCGGTTGTAGCTCGAGATGATGCTGTTGGCCTCGCCCTTCTTGACGTCGGTGCGATCCCACTGGCCGATGCAGGGGCCGCAGGCGTTGGCAAGGACCATGCCGCCATACTCCTCGAACGTCTTGAGCTGGCCGTCGCGCTCAATCGTGGCGCGGATCTGCTCAGAGCCGGGGGTGACGGTGAAGATGGTCTTGGACTTGAGGCCGTGGGCCAGCGCATCCTCGACGATGGAGGCGGCGCGGGACATGTCCTCGTACGAGCTGTTGGTGCAGGAGCCGATCAGACCAGCCTTGAGCTCCTCGGGCCAGCCGTTCTCCTTGACGGCGGCAGCGAACTTGCTGATGGGAGTGTACAGATCGGGAGCTATTGATAAGAAAAAAACGTATTAGCAAGGTGGCTCTATGCAAGTTGTGCGCCTCGGAAAGCAAAAAAGGGGGTATGGGAAAACTGACTAAAGGGGCCGTTGATGGCGGGCTCAAGCTCCGACAGGTTGATCTCGATGAGCTGGTCGAACTCGGCGCCATCATCCTCGCGCAGCTCCTTCTCGTACGAGCGGGCAAAGTCGGCGATCTCAGAGCGCTTGGTGGCCTTGAGGTAGTCGGCCTGGCGGTCGTTGAAGCTGAACAGGGAGGTGGTGGCACCAATCTCGGCGCCCATGTTACAGATGGTGGCCTGGCCAGTGCAGCTGATCGAGTTACTGTAGAGGGGACCCGGGTCAGCTCACACATCAGAGTTTTGGAGAAGAAACAAGAGGGCCACGCACAGTCCAGGACCGAAGTAGTTGACGATGAAGCCGGTGCCGCCCTTGACAGTGAGGATGCCGGCAACCTTAAGGATGATGTCCTTGGGGGTGGCCCAGCCGCTAAGCTCGCCAGTCAGACGGACACCGAGCTGCTTAGGGGCCTTGAGCTCCCAGGGCAGGCCGGCCATGGCATCGACGGCGTCACCACCACCAACACCAATGGCGGCAGCACCAAGACCACCACCGTTGGGGGTGTGACTGTCAGTTCCGATCATAAGAAGACCGGGGAAGGCGTAGTTCTCCAGGATGATCTGGTGAATGATACCGCTGCCGGGCTTCCAGAAACCGATGTTGTACTTGGCCGAAGAGGACTGGAGGAAGTCGTAGACCTCTGTTTTGGGGTCATGTGTTAGCGCAGAACAGAGAGCAGCCGGACAGGCGCATGTTCATACCCTTGTTGATGTCAACGGCCCTGGCGAGATCCTTGGGGCCGCCAACCTGAGCCTCGATAAGATGGTCGCAGTGGACGGTGGTGGGGGTCTGGACGCGGTCCATGCCGGCCGACATGAACTGCAGGATGGCCATCTGGGCGGTGGCATCCTGGCAGGCCACACGGTCAGGGCGTAGCTTGAGGTATGAGACGCCGCGCTCGATGTCCTGGCCGTGGGGGTCGTCGAGATGCGAGTACAGGATCTTCTCGCCGAAGGTGAGGGGGCGGTTGAGGCGGCTGCGCACGATGGAGAGGTTCTCCGACATCTTCTTGTAGTCGATGAAGTTGTTCTCCTCGCGGGCGAGCAGGTTCTGCCTGACCTGGTGGCAGCCAAAGAAGGGAGGTTAGCACACGAGCTGGCAGCGGGGGAGAGGGAGAGGGAGAGGGGCGAGGCCCATCGTGGGAGAGCTTCTACTAACCTTCCTGTCCAGAGGATGGTCGCTGACAGTGGCCATGCGCCGCATGCCGCACGAGGCGACGCGGGCGCGGGCAGCCCTACCCAGCAGCTGGCGGTGCGAGGCCAGCATGATGGGTGTCTAGGGAGGCTCGAGGGATTTTGGTGGGAGGGAACAGAAAACAATTGGGAGGGGATATTGGGGTATCAAACGCCAGAAAGGAAATCGCTCTCGAGACACCAACCCAAGAGACGAGAACGAGACAGAGGAAAAAGAAAAGGGCTTGTTGGAGGGCCTGCTGGGTGGTGGATGAGCGGGAGAGGCAGAGTCTTTAGGCCAGAAGGGCGAGAAGGGCTGGATTTGAATCAATGTGGACTGGACTTTCTGGCAGAAGTTGCGACGCTGTGTCGGCTCCACCGAGCAGCCTGCGAGGACTTTTCGGCTAACCGATGACGATGGGGTTGGTGGCCGGCTGAGGACGAATAATCGGGAATCGCCCATTGGCTGGCGCACCCCGGCCAGAGACGTCACAGTCGAGAGGGCACGACCGATGCCGAGAAAGAGGCCTCGGTGCACTTTTTCTGTTTTAGTTGCCACATGTCTGCACACAGCCAGCCCGGGGCTCTCCCCGCCCTGCTCTCAGGCCTGACTCGACTATTTGCTTGATGCCATTGATTCCATTGACGGGTTGCATTGCATTGTTTGAGCTGGCCGAGCTGTTGTTTTCCACAGCAGAGCACAGCAGGAAAAAAAAAAGAAAAAAAAAAAAGCACCTGCAGTGGATACCCAGCCATCGGCCCTGGGTATTGTGGGCTCCAGCATGTCAGGGATTGAAGCTCCACGCGCCCAGAGCTCCCCATCAATGCCCCTCAGGAAGTGGTCAAAGAGCCTGGCTTGCCGCTAGCCCGAGGGCTGTTGATCCCCTGGAGAGACCCGAGGTGTTTCCCCAGCTTGTAGACTTCTCTTCTCCGCATGCGCAACCCAACCAGCTGTCGTTGCCCAGAGGTCAGCTTGGCAACCAAGGTCGCTTGAAAAAATTGCCTCCTGACCGAGAGAAATAAAATCTGGAGAATTTGCCGCAGCCCTTGCCCTGCAACATCCTGATTCAGAAGTCGCGTTGCGGCTCGAGTGGCTCTGCGGGACTTTTAACTCCTCGGCGGCCCAGTGCTCCGGCTCGGAGTCAGCAGGTATTACGAGGAGTTAAGCTAACTACGAACGGAGTTTAACTCGGCCCCCCCACACAAGGCAACAGAGCAACATGGATTGAAGAATGTCCCCAGGGCCAGCAGTCGCAGACGACAGTGTCGTTGTCCAAATAAGCAAATACATATTATAAAGCCCACGGAGGGGCCATCAACAAACTCATGTGCGACGCGATATCGTTCCAGCGCCATGCATGAGTGACGGCACCTGAGCGCATGCATCAAGCAGCGGGAGGAGGCGTCAAATTGTTGCGTGTGACAAGCACGAGATTGATGCTTGAGCCTTCAAGCTTGCGTGCCTCTGGCCTTCCATTGCCCCGCACAGGGTGGATCACAGCGGCCTAACCCAAAGAGGCTGCATGCAATTGCCCCTAGTTGAATTTTTCTGCGTCGGCAAGAGCACGACGCCAGAATCCAAGGACGGACCACGGGACCTGTGATATCGCAACTTGCCGCATCAAACGTGATATCCAACAAACCGCCCAATATGCCCAAAGCCAAGGGAGTTGCGACACAACGTGTGCAAAAGACGAGGCATCGCACCAGGTTAGTGTCCCCGCGTTATCCCTTGTCCTTGATAGAGCAGTGGTGCTGATTTGAGTTACCCAACCCAGAGACCTGGACCAGATCAAGAAGGACCTGCTGTCGCCCAAGCATCTGGCCCAGTGGAAGGACACCAAGGCCTCAGAGGACCTGCCTGGGCTGGGCAGGCATTACTGTGTCGAGTGCGCAAAGTGGTTCGAGACGGACCACAGCTTGGTTGAGCACCGCAAGGGCAAGCCGCACAAGCGCCGGTAAGGTTCCAGGGCGATCTTTGTAGTGCCATTGCAATGACTGACACCCGGCAATAGAGTCAAGCAGCTTGAGGAGGAGCCATACACCCAAAGGGAGGCGGAGGCGGCCATCGGTATCGGACCTCCGGACAACGGACAGCGGAAGAAGGACGAAGACGTGGCGATGGCATAACTTATTTCCCATGTTTCCTTTGCCTAGGTCATGTTTGCTTTGTCTGCGTTTGATTCATAATGGAGGTAGGAACTGGAAAATCTGCATTCCTAAGGGGCGTTCAGGGGCGTCTTGGGTCATGTGACTGGCGGCGTCCAGTGTTCGAGGCCATGGGCTGCGAGTTATTCCCATAGACGAACGAGCGGGGGCGGCACCTACCTACCTAGGCACTACCTAGGTAGGATTTATATGCTTTGCCATCCATGCGAGGCCACGAGGGGCAGCACTAAACGAGGCGGGCAGACGACGTTTTGATGCTTGGCCGTCACGTGCCGAGGCTCAAGTCGTCTGGGCGTGGCACGGCTCCATCGTTTGGGACGGCGGCCCCACAAAAAGATTGGGAACCACTGGCGGAATTGAATTCGATCGCGGTTCGTGAGGAAGCTAGAACCTGCTACCTACTGCGGTGCAATGACGGGAATGACTTCACTGCCATAGCTGGCGGGAAAATATCAAAAACTGCACCACCACACCCTCGCCATCACCACACCCTCGTCATCACCACCCGACCCAATAGACTCCCTGTCGCCATCGCCGAGCCCCGTAAACCAAACCTGTCGCCGTCACAGCGTAGTGTTCCCTCCAGCAGCGCCAAGAGGGGGCCAACCCTAGGACGCGGTTGGACTAGCATCCAGTCGCGCATCTAGCCGCCCATGAATGCTGCTTGCGAGGGCCGCCTGGATCTCTCGTGTATCCGCTGTTCGAATCCGGACCATGTCACCGCCTGCTCCCCACGCCGCCATGTCGGCGCACCATAACTCGGGCTCCGGCCTCTCGGCCGCCGCTGCTGCAAAGGCCAACTCGCACGCCTTCGCATCCCACCAGAAGCGACAGCACCAGCCATCACAAGCGGCCCAGGCTCGCCGCTACACCGTTACCGCCCTCGGCCGCTGGTCCGTCCAGAACAAGCAGCTTCCGCCCGTCGAGGCCATCAAAGCCATTCATGTCTACGACTTTGATAACACCTGTAAGGTCCCTCTGGTTCCCACCTCTTCCTCTGCGTCATCGCCCTAACCACTCCCCACCCACCCACAGTGTTCAAGACCCCGACCCCGAACCCCAAGCTCTGGAGCGGCCCGACGATAGGACTCCTAGCCAACCCCGACTGTTTCGTGAACGGCGGCTGGTGGCACGACAACCGCATATTGTCCGCAACGGGCGCGGGTTTGATGAAGGAGGAGCCACGCGCTTGGGAGGGCTGGTGGAACGAGAGCATTGTCGATCTTGTGCGCCTCAGCCACCAGCAGAAGGATGCTCTCTGTGTGCTGCTGACGGGCCGCTCCGAGCATGGCTTCAGCGATATCGTTGGCCGCATGGTGGCCAGCAAAGGCCTCGAGTTTGACATGATGGGCCTCAAGCCCGCTACAGGCCCCGACGGCGAGCGCTTCGCCAGCACCATGGCTTTCAAGCAGGCCTTTCTGACGCACCTCATGGAGACTTACCGCCTTGCCGACGAGATCCGCATCTACGAGGACCGCCCCAAGCACGTCAAGGGCTTCCGCGACTTCATGGCCGATTACAATCAGGACGTGAGCGCATCCTTGGCCGGCAGCGGATCCACAAGCACACCCACGGCCCGCCCCGCCCCGATCAACGCCGAGGTTATCCAAGTCGCAGAGCTCGGTGTGAATCTGGATCCGGTCGTCGAGGTGGCTGAGGTGCAGCACCTGCTCAACTCGCACAATGCGCAGGTTGACAAGGGAGTCTCGGCCCCGGGCAACAGGTCGCGCGCCGCCGAGAAGCTGACGATAAAGAAAACAGTCTTCTACACGGGCTACCTTATCGACGCGGCCGACACGCAGCGCCTACTGTCGCTGATACCGCCACCCCGCTCGTCGGACCCCGAGTTGAAGGTGCACGCCAACAACATCATGATCTGCCCCCGTCCCTGCCCTGCCAGTATTCTGGACAAGGTGGGTGGTCTAGGGGCGAAATTGCGTTGGGAGGTGACGGGCACGGGCTGCCTGGAGAGGAGCGTGTGGGCCGCCGCGGTGCGCCCGGTGCCGCCGACAGCAAAGTACCACACGGACAACAAGACTCCTCACGTGGTGCTGGCGCTGCGAAAAGGCACCAAGCCCATAGACGCCAGCAAGATACATAACTGGCAGCCCGTCCCTCCCGACAAGGCCTTCAGCTTCGAGACCACGGTGGGCGAGAAGATACTGTTTCGCATCGAGTCCGAGGACCCAACTGAGGGCGAGTACGAGAGCATGTTTGCGAACAAGAGCTCCAAGCGCAAGCACACGTTTGACGACGAGGCGCCCTCGCACCCACGCGGCGGCGCCAATGGCGGCGGACACCACCCGGGCGGAGGGCGAGGCTACCACACCCAGGCCGGAAACAACGGCTTCTCCAGGGGAGGACGTGGAGGCAACAATTTCCGTGGAAACTACAACTCCAACCGGGGATACCGCGCCAGCGCCCGCGGAGGCGGCGGCTACAGCGGCTTTAGGGGATCCGGCGGTCGGGGCGGTGGTCGGGGCGGCAAGTACGGCTACCACTCGCTCGACGACGTGGGCAAGCGGGACAGCAACCAGGCCATGTCTTATGAGGACAGCGGCTACTCGGCCCCGAACTCGAACCAGCACGAGAACCAGCACGAGACGCAGCACCAGCCTGCAAACGGCGGCCAGCAGCAAAGCCGCAAGCAGCGGAACCGGCAGAACCAGCAGAACCGCCAGCAGCAGCAGCAGCAGCAGCAGCAGCAACAGCAACAGCAGTCGCAGGCGCCGCCACAGCAACATACGCAGCAGTACCACCCGCAGCAGCCAGCGCTTCCAATCCCTCCGCCGCTGATGCCGGGCGCCGCATTCTACCCACAGTTCGGGCCTCCACTGTGGCTACCCCCGGCGCCCCCCAACGGCATGGGGGGCCAGGGCGGCTATGTGCCTCCGCCCGGGCCCGACATGCATAATCATTACTGATGCGCGAGACCATGTGGCTGTGTGATGCATTGGTAGACCGTACCGGCATCCTTATCCTTCTTGCCTATATTATTGGTAATCCTAGTGTGTATGCTTTCCCAATACCACTTATATAAACGTGCCATGTTGTTGGTGTTTGCTGTTTTGTCACCTTGTCGGCGCTATTTTAGGCAGCATTATGGAGTTTAAAGAGGGTGAGATGTTGGCATATCGCAACCCAAATGTCCATGTTTACTGCTGCGTTGGATTTTTGTATCTGCTGGTCGTTTTTCTCCTTTTGTTTGTTTGCTTGCTGCGTTGGTTTGGGAAGCATGGTAATGTCGGATGAAGAGAAGCCGGTCGGACTTGCTCCTGAGGCGAAGACAGCGGAAAGGCCATCGCCGGGGAGGGTGTCATGCACCCCCAGGTTCGGCGATATTTTTTGTTCCTTTTTGGGTGTTCAAGTGCCGATGCCATGTCCATTTCCGGTTGTTCTTATTAGGTACTTTAAATCCCATGGACCTCACTGGCCGACTCTGGGGTGTGCGCCCATTTAGCCGGCCTGGGCGTCCAGCAGCATCTTTTGTCTCCCTCGGGTTTGCAGCGCCCGTGGTATGGAATAGCTTCTACTCTATGGCGGACCTTTTGCGTCCCCTTGGCGGTGTTTCTGCGGTAGGTAGTTGCCGACGTTAAAAACGAGCATGCCCAGCTGCCTCTCGTTCTCCCATCCGCATATGTTGCTATCAACCCACCGCACCTACAACGCTCCTCCCTACATCATGAAGCTCACCGGGCTGCTCCTTGGCCTCGCCGCCGCTGCGGCAGAGGCGCACTGTGGGTTCTTCATCAGCCCTAGACTAGCGACATAGCCCATCATGTACCTAACATAGCAACCCAGACGTCTTCCCCAACATCGCCGTCGGGTCCCAGCGCACGTCGGACTGGCAGGCGGTGCGGCAGACGACAAACTACCAGTCCAACGGGCCGGTGACCGACGTTAACTCGCGGCAGATGACGTGCTACGAGCTGTCTCCGGGCCGCGGCGCGCCCCTCACCGTCGACGTGGCGGCCGGCGGCACCGTCGCCTACACGGCCAAGACGGGCATCAGCCACCCGGGCCCGCTGTCGGCCTGGCTCGGCTTCGTGCCGGCCGGCAAGACGGCGGCGACGTGGGACGGGAGCGGCAGCCGCTGGGTCAAGATCTTCCAGGACAAGCCGAGCGTGGGCGGCGGCGGCCTGGTGTGGCCGGCGCAGGGGAAAGGGGTGGTCAACGTGCAGATCCCGCGGTGCGTGCCGTCGGGCGAGTACCTGCTGCGGATAGAGCACATTGGCCTGCACAGCGCGAGCGCCGTGGGCGGCGCGCAGCTGTACATCTCTTGCGCGCAGATCCGGGTCACGGGCGGGTCGGGTAGCGAGCCGACGGGCAGGATGGTGGCCATCCCGGGGGCGTACAGGGCCAACGATCCGGGGCTGGTGGTCAACATCTACTACCCCGTACCGACCAACTACAAGGGACCGGGGCCGGATCCGCTCAAATGCTGAGTGGAGGGGTTATGTGGATAGAGGTAGCAGGCAGGCAGGCAGGCGTGTTACCAGTCGGCGATTACAGTGGAGTTGCTGCCTATATGCACATGCGGCTGGCCTTTCAGCTGCTATTGTGCACCACACAAATCACTGGTACCGCTCCCAAACGGGCAATCACGGCGTTTGCCGGCTTGCTGACTTGCTGACATGCGTTGCCGAAACTCCACAGCTCAGCTGGGCTCCCTCTGGCAATGCCTCGACGAGAGCTTCACCGTCATTTGCATGTAGAATAAGCTATTGAAGGAATGTGTTTATAAAGCCTTGGGCAGTATCAAGAATTCGTGCTTGGGATTAAACACCAAACCAGCACCACCTTCTTCTGTACAAGAGCAACAAAACCCGTCTTCCAAACTACCCGCCCATAAACCACACAATGAAGCTCCTCCTCGTCTCCCTCCTCGCGGCCTACGTCGCGGCCGAGGCCAACACCACCGTGGCGGCAGACGGCGCACAAGAGGAACGATCGTCGGGCGCCTGCTACCCCAACGTCTGCGGATGGCAAGCCGTCAACGGCGTCTGTAAGTACACTCTGCTCGCGTGATGTACCTTGGCTCCTAAATCCCCCCGGGCAATTCACTAACACCCAGCAGTGACACAGGGCGACCTCGCCATGAAGGTCTGCGGCCGGTCCGACACGTGCGGCGGCCAGGAGTGGAACTACCTGTACCACTACGGCCTCAGCGACCTCTACCCCGTGCGCTTCTGCGACAAGGGTTGCTACAAATGCAGAGGCGTGTGCGGGGACAACGAGGGATGCTGTCATTGATCGGCTGGGTGTTTTGCTTTGGAAAAATCTGGGCTGCGAAGAGTGTATGATTGTTGGCCATGGTGGAACGGGGTAGGGGTTTACTTTTGAGGCTTTTCGGTGTTTGTACAAAGCAAAGGGCCATCTTTCAAACGGTACAACCATCTTTCTTCCCTTGTTATTCCTAGTCTGCTGCATCTTAGAACCTGCTCTCCCTTTTGAACTAGCATGTTGAACTGGAGGAAATTTGGTGTCGAATTCGGAATTTATTTCCTGTAGGGGTAAGACGGAAAGTCTTCGCGCCAAGATGATATTTAAGCAGCCCAAAAAGCTACAGATGAGTAAAGAGAAATGCCTAATGTTTAGCCAAAACGATGACTTGATCCGGGCACAATACCTCCTCGACGCTACTCGAGAGCTCGAGGGCTTCTCGCCTTGGATAACGGCGGGCGGCTGGAACTCCGACTTGAGCTGGCCAAAACCGATGCGCAGCTTGAACTCCTCGACGCTGCTAGCGCCATAGTTGAAGACGGTGTAGAAGCGGTGCAGGAAGTTCCTGCCGAACAGCGCCAGCCGGGGGTTCTCGCTCGAGTCGAAGGGCGGGAAGCAGGCGTCGTCGCGGTCGGCAAAGCCGCTGGTCGCCAGCTGGTCGCCGCGGACGGTGAGGTTGCGGAACCTGCGGCCGTCGTCGTCGCCAGAAGAAAACGTAAAAGTCACGGCCCACGACGCGTTGAACTCGCTGCACAGCGGCATGTTGGCGCAGGCTACGCAGCGCGTCGTAGTCCCAGCCGGTGGCGCGGTAGACGTCGGCGGGCATGAAGCGCCACGACGACTTGGTGGCGGCGATGAAGGTCTGGATCCACGAGGACCCCTCCGAGGTAGTCAATGGACCCCTTAACGCCGAGGTCTTGCGACGTGGACGAGGCGTTGAGCGAGTATGCGTTGCGGGGGAAGCTGTCGAGGCGCCAGTCAGTCTTGGCTCTCGGCGACTGTTCCGAGGTAGTAACCTACCGGCTCCCGTTTGGGCAGTCTTTGTCCTCCGACACCATCCATGACGTCCCACTGCCTGTGCCAAAGTGCAGCAGGTGGTCCTGGGGAGGAGTGCCCACTGGCATGCTGACCGTGCACTGCGTACAAGGTTGGAATATACGTCACATAGGTCGTGGCGGCACGGGCTGGGCTCACATATGTGTTGCGGAACCAGACGGGGAGGTCCACGACCATGGCGGACCCGGCCTGGGCGAGGGCCACGGCTGCGAGGACGGCGGTTGCGGTGCGGGCCATGACGGCTGGCGCAAGACAGGAGGGTTTTTTAAAAAGGCTCAGGAACGTAGGAGAGCGAGTGACAGGTGACGAGGCAATGAGGGCGAAGAAGGGCTGAGCGCGAAGTTGGAGATAATTTCAAGTGGCAGGGGCCTGCCAGAGGCCCGAAATGGCGCTATTTATCTATTCCTTCTTTTGTGCTTGCCGTCTGTACTAGCCCTAGTCGGCATCGCCATCTCATCCCGGAGCTCGCATTGTCGTTGGAGTGAGTTCGGCGCTTTCGATGCCGCGATGCCGCATTCGGCGCAGATCGCCAAACCAGCTCGGCTTCACCGAGCCGCTGGCGGGTCTTTTCGTATTGAAGGCAAAGACGGTGATGCGACTGCCGTGGGCAAAGCGGCGCATTCAGGGGCTGCGCAACACGGACGGGCCTGGAAGAGTCCGCGGGAAGCCTCCAAAGTCTATCAGGATCCAGACTTGGGCTTTTCCTTGGTCCCTGCATTGACATGCCTTCGGATGTCTCCTTTCGTTTGCTTCAACTCTGCCACCCAACCTCCCTGGCCCAAATTCTGGAATCACAGCTGTCGTGATAGCAACAGAGAAGGTACGCCTAGAGCAAGACTCGAAAGGAATGATGCATCGACCATCCGCAGCCCCCCTCTCCTGGGCCTCGCTGCTTCTCGCCCCAGCAGCCGTCGCGGCCATGCCCCTGTCCGCCTGGCCCACGGCGGCCGCCGCCAACAGCACTCTCGCCCTCGCCCCGGCGTCGCCGGAGCTGACGTTCCTCTACACCATCAACATCACGGGCGGGGCCGCCATCCCCGTGGGCGCGGGCCCGCGCGGCAGCCGCGTCGTGCTGCCCATCATGGGCGGCACCTTTGCCGGCCCGCACATGCGCGGCCGCCTGCTGCCCGTGGGCGCCGACTGGGCGCTCGTGGACGCGCGCGACGGCGTGCTGACGGCCGACGTGCGCCAGACGCTCGAGACGGACGACGGCGAGCACGTGCTGGTCTTTGAGACGGGCGCCACCCACGTCGGCGCCTTTGCCCGGGCCGTGGGTGGTGGAGCGGGCGGAGGAGGGGGCCAGTTCAACGCCAGCGCGCCGACGACGGCGTGCCTGCGCATAGCGTTCGAGACGGGTAGCCAAAGGTACTACTGGCTCAACTCGGTCGTGGCCGTGGGCGTGCTGCGGCGCCTGTCGCCGACGCAGCTGACGATTGATGCCTGGCAGGTGCGTGGTGTTCTTTCTCGGCTTCACATTGTTATTACTGACTGGGCGCTCGACTCCAACGACTGCAGATCACGCCGCCCCAGGACACGACGGTTTTGCCGGGAGGGGTTTCAAGCACGGAGAGGGTGGTGCATCGCCCATGGGGTGGCGATATGTAGGGCGATAAATATAATGCGACCAACGATAGGTTTAGAAACTAAATTTATTAATGCCCCAAGCTTTTCCCTCAATACTACTTGTTTTGTTTGTTTTTATTCACACTAGTATTCATATTCCTATTCCTATTACCCTTTCAAATCGCCCTTTTTATAAAGCAAGCGTATTATACCTTTCTCGCCTTTCATCAAGCAGACGTATTATATCCTTATCGCCTTTCATATTCGCTGCCTGCAAACAACAAGTATCACCATCGTTGTCCGGATTAGGATTAGCACCGGCATCCAGTAAAACCACCACGACGTCGACATGGCCCGCCGCCACCGCCGCGAACAGCGGGGACATGAAATTTTCCCCATTGGCCGCTGGGTTCACGTCCGCCCCGTTCGCTAGCAACACCTTGACCATGGCCGCGAACCCCTTATAGGCTGCCAGCCCCAGCAGTGTGAGTGAAAACATTATCAGCTCGTCTTCCCGTTCGCTGTTGTTGATCTCCTCCCACAGCGAGTCGCTGCCCATCCTCGCTCGGCGCTCCTTGATGCCCTCAAGCAGTTCTGGAAACTCATCAGCAATCAGCTCCATGGCGACTTTGTTCTCCCAGATCCCGTTGTGCGTTGTAAAGGCCTCAGCCGCGGCCTCAAACCCTATCTTGTCCATGCTCTGGTCGTCGAGAGTGGCGGCTTGCAGCGGGCGCAGCCCGTCGGTGCCGACGCTCCAGATATCGGCGTCTTTGCGGGCCGCTAATGCCTTGATCATCTTGGCGTTGGCAACGTTTAAAGGTTTTAATCCCTCAAACTTGGCGTAGACGTCGGGACCCGGCATCCCCTTGAGGAGGGCTGCAACACGTCTGGGTGGTATATTTCGGAGACGCCAAAGGAAAAAAGACGTAGCGATCTGGTCGATGGAACCGGAGAGGTGGCAAACGAAGCCGCCCATCTGGTTGATCTCGTCCCAATCTAGAATAGACCAGTCGGGGAATAGCCGCCCGATGAAAAGCCGGTTGACCTGCCATCTGACGGTTCCCTCAGTCACCTCGTAATCGGGCTTAATCTGAGGCTCACCCTCGGAGATGCCGAGCAGTGCATACACCTTGTCCCGCGGATCTGTGGCCTCGTAATTTCGGAACTTGCAGAGCAGTGCCAGCAGGTCCCGACCGCCATGCCACCACGACGTCTCGAGCCTTTTGAGCAGGCTCGGCATGACTTCAAGCGCCGCCCTCGCGCCCTCGGGAATGCGGATCGACGGCAGCGTCGACAGCATAGCAAAGGTGCGGGCCGGCACGGCGTCGTGGCCGTACATGACCAGCGCGGCCTTTGCGCTCGCGGCCTCCTGGATGACCCAGATGCGCCGGAACCACGGGCTCTCGAACAGGGCGGGCAGCATGTGGTGCACGACGGCGGCGGTGGTGTCGCCCTGCCTGCCGCGCTCGAACTCATCCCTCCATGCGTCGGGCGTATCCAGCCGACGGCCCGACCGCAACACTGCCTGGTCGACCTGTAGCAGGTATGGCATGGCCAGGCAGCTCTCAATAGTAGCCGGCCCCAGCCAGATTAGCACTCGCTCCGCCTGGCCGTAGATGCGCTGCATCTGGCCGACCTGATGCGTTCGCTCGTGCGGGCTCCCCTGGTCGATGCAGACGGCGTCGACCCAGAGCACGCGGTCGCTCGTCGGCAGCCGCAGGTGCACCAGGGCGCGGTGGAGGTTCGCCGTGACAGGCAGCACGCCGCCGTTGACCAGGATGTGCTGCGGCGTCGATGCGTCGCCCCAGGTGTAGGACAGCGCCTCGTACGACACGCCCGGCCCGCCGCGTTCTTCGTCTTCGCTGAGCACCGTCATGTCAAGATCGCACCATATTGGCTCCGACTCGTCCTTAGCGCGCGCGAGGCGCATGGTCCGGATGGAGGATTGGGTTGTATCGAGCTGCCGGTAAGTGTACATGGCCATGCTGGTGCAATGCTTTTGGCGGGATAGCGGGTAGGCGTGGAAAATGATTTTGGAAGGATATTGAAAGGATATTGAAAGAAAATGGGAAAAGGGTAAAATTGGCAACGAAATGGAAATGGGAAGGAAATATGAAAGTAAGGGAAAGCGGAAAAGAAGGGATGTGGAAAAAGGGACAGTGGCTGGCTGTCGGCTGCCCAATGTAGCACATATATCTATGTGCGCCCGGGTTTGGTGTGAGCGCTTATCGCGGCTTCCCATGATTGGCGCTGCAAAAGGAGGGGTAGCTGTTGTGACGATGCTGCTGTGGTTATTGGATTTGTGTGCAAGGAATAAGATGAACGAGTTTGTTTCGGCTACATAATCTAGTCAAATATCACGCTCGTATCCCTTCCCAAACGCGACTCCATGGGTCCCGTTTCTATTCTGTTAAACATGTCATGACAAAACCCAAACCGCGGCGCATCCTCTAGGCCTTCTCGACGTGGGCGCCGCCGGCTTCGTTCATCTTCTCGGCGGCGCTGTCCGAGGTGCTGCCGTGGCCGGCCTCGAGGTCATCCTCGACGACCTTGGAGTCGGCAGCGGCGCCGGCGCCGGCGCCGGCGGCGTGGCCGGCGGGCAGGGCCTTCTCGAACTGGCGGCCGCGCTTCTCGGGGCCAAAGGCGGTGGTGACGGCGATGCCCACAGCGATGATGGCGGTGGCGATGCCCATGGTGGGGCCGTAGGCCTCGACCATCTTGCCGGCGTGGTTGCGGATAAAGGTGTTCTCGGCGATGGCGTTGACGATCTGGGCCGAGGGCGACGAGATCATGTTGCCGAGCTGGTACGTGATGCCCGGGAAGGACGAGCGGAAGGCCGGGGGCGACAGCTCGTTGAGGTGGATGGGGATGACGCCCCACGCGCCCTGGACGAAGAACTGCATGAAGAAGCCCGAGGCCGACAGGCTGCGCTCGTCGGTGGGCATGATCCAGGCCGGGATCAGGCAGGCGCTGACGACGGCGGACAGGATGATGGCGCGGCGGCGGCCCAGCCACTGCGACACGTAGCCGATCATGGTGCCGCCGACGCAGGCGCCGGCCTTCATGAGGATGGAGGCGCGCGACGCGCCCGAGTTGTCGAGCTGCTTCTCGGACAGCATAAAGGTGGTGTAGCTGTCCTGGCTCGTGTGGCTGTAGTAGTTGAACCACGTCATGAGGATGATGCAGTACAGGCACAACTTCCACTCCTGCGCCAGCATGACCTTGGTCTCCTTCCAAAAGGCCGACGGGTTGGCCTTGTTCTTACCGGCCTTGCGCGCCTCGATGAACTGCGGCGACTCGGGGAAGAGGCAGCGGACCAGGCCGACGAAGATGGAGATGCCGGCGGCAATCCAAAAGACCGTCTTCCACGAATCGATGTCGCCGCCCACGCCCAGGTTGGCGCAGGCCGCGCACACGTAGCCGAACGAGTAGCCCTGCTGCAGGATGCCCGACATGAGGCCGCGGGCGTCGACGGGGCTGTTTTCGAGGGCCATGGCGATGGCGTTTCCGTAGCTGTTTGGGCTGTTAGCTAGAGCTCGAGGGGGGGAAACACCGGACCAAGGCACACTTACACTCCGCCCATAAAGAGGCCAAACAAGGCGCGCACCGCCAGGAACTCGTTAAAGGTGCGGCAGTAGATGGTGGCAATCTGCAGCAGGCCGAGCACAATCATGTTGACGACCATGGGCCACTTGCGGCCGTACTTGTCGCCGGCCAGGCCGAAGAAGGCGGCGCCGACGGAGCGCAGCAGAAGAGTAAGAGTGATGGCGGTGGTGATGTCGGTCTTGGAGGTCTGGTAGTACTTTGACAGCTTGACCGTCTGGATGGACAGGGCGTGGAAGTCGAAGGCGTCGGCCGTCCAGGCCGAGAAGCCGACGATGAAGAAGAGCCAGTCCTTGGCCGACAGCTGGGCCATGAGGCTGATGGGGTTCTTGAGCGGTGGCGGCGTGTGCCACTCGGTGCGCTTCTCGCCGTACTCGTTGACCACCTCGACGCGCTGGTCCCACTTCCACAGGTCGCCCCATGCCTGCCGCGCCGTCGCCAGCACGCCCTTGGCCACGGGCTCGGCCGGGCGGATGGTAGCCTCGGCGGACATTGTTTTTTTTGTCTGTGGCTTGTCCTTTTTGGTGTTGTGGTGCGTCGACTGCTACAAGCTTTTTGCTTGAGGACTGGTCAAGGCGCCAATGTGGCTACGCCCAGGACTCGGCCAGCGATCTCCACGGAGCCAAGCAAGCTTGTGTGCGAGCTGGGCTGGGCAGTATGTACCAAAAAAAGAAGAGAAAAAAAAAGGAGGAACGGGCTCAGTGCGTCGCGGGAAGGGAGGACGTCTACGAGTCGCTCGTGAGCTTTCACAACCAGACGAACGTGGGAAGGGGAGGGTCTTTAAATATCGGGACGGCCAGCACCCAATCTCCTCCTCCGTCCTTGTTGAGATGGCAGCACGACAGGGGGGTCAGAGCTTGCGCAAGGGTGGGCGTGAGCTTCCTGCCCGCCCCACGCTAGCTGGCGTTACATTATGCTACTGGGTCGGCGGCTGCAGCTCCTCCAAAGGAGGTGAGACCTTACTTCCAGCGACCCTGTCGTTGTCGCACGCGGTCCGCGGGCTGGGGAGACTGGTAGGTACTGTACCATGCCTTGTCTGGCGACCGAGCCCCGCCGGGGGCCCGACTCGTGCGAGGGGGGACGCCGCTCCGTGGGGTGTGGGTGGGAAAAAGAGATTTCTCTGGAGGACCAGATCTGCGGGGCAAGGGGTCGGCGTGGAGGCTGGCCGGGGTGGCAGGTGCCCCATCGGCATACAGGCTGGGTGTATGCATGTATACGGTGTAGGAGTGTTTTTCATGGCTATGGATGACGCGATGGATAGACGGCCGACTTCTATTACCCGACGGGGGCCGGCAGCACAGGAGGAGCACTTCTCCGTCCTTCCTGTGCGACGCCCGATATGGCGACGTGCTTGGTGCATGTCCCAGGCAAAGGATGCCCTCCATCCCGGGACCGAGTGATTTGCTAGCTCCAGTTGATGGACGGCAAGTGGGAGGGTGTGGTCGGTGTGGTTGGATGTAATCGAGTGTGCACACGAGCCGGCCAGCCAGCCAGCCAGCACCATCGACATCCCCACCCCTTGGGCGGTCAAGATTCGCCGCGACCTCGGCCGAATTGCTGTGATGCGACGGCACGCGAGCTGCAGAGGCAGAAAACGCAGAGGCAGATAAATATGCCTCTATGGTCACCTGGTGGCGTCGGCGTTTGGGATGTAGTCGAATGGACGGGCGCACGCTAATACCTAGCCCGCACAGGGACAGGCCGAACAAGGAAACATCCCGAGACGGGCCAAAATCAGCGAGCAGGAGCCTGCCAGACCCCAGCCTTTCCAACGACGACGTGCGGGGAAACCGGTTTCCCCCGTGGGAGCACTGCAATGGAACCCAGAAAACGGGTTCCCCCGGCTTCGTCGGCGTCCCAGAAGAGGGCAAACACAGTGGCAATCTTTGCTCCTTTGGCCCCTTTGTTTCCCCTGCACGTGGCCTGTGGATCTGTCTTGTTTTCTCCCTCGCGATCGAGACGTTGATTGAATCTCAGTTCGCAACATGATTCCATTCTTCCCTTTCGCTTTCTGCAGTCGCCTGCCATGGCCTCTTTTTGACAGACGTCGTCCCCGCCCCGCCAAGCTAGAGGCGGCTCCAAAGCCGAGAGCCGCTGACGGATCAAGCAATGCCACTGCCGCCTTGTGTGGCCGGCCAAGAGCCAAGAACGAGGTCCCCTGCGCCAGGCAGCGGCTTGGCGAGCACGAGTGCCGCCCGCCAAATTCCGCTCTGCCGCGGCACGCGACACTCACCGTCGACGCGCTGGTGGCGGTAGGGGTGCGTCGCGGCACATGACAAGCCCCTCAGACTTGGGAGACAGGCCGCCAGTCGACGCCAAGAAATACCGGATATGTGTTCTTCCCCAGGCGTCGTCGGGGTGGTTTTCCAATCACTTGTCCTGCTTCCAATGTCGGCCATGTCGATAAGCGATACGGCCTAGTTGCGGCATTTTGCAGAGGCGGCTGGCTCAGCACTCCAGCTGGCCCAGCATTCCAGCTGAATATATCGACTCATGGACCGTGGTCCTCGTACGACTCGAGCAGCCAGCTTCCTTCCGGCTTGGCAGGAAGTTTCTTTTCCCTGTCCCAGTCCAATCTCCAATTTCCCGTCTTTTTCCCGTTTTAAACTTGCCCTGGCACCCCCAAGACAATTTAATTGATACACCAAAAGTGAGCATTTCATTCACCAGTGATTTCGCAGCGAAATAGCCCATTCATTAAGAAATTTATAAAAACTCAAAGTACCAGATTTATAAGCAATGGTTTTAAATGGCATTTTTCTTTAAATTTTTATAATTTTCCTGAAGTTTATACATTCGATTGTTTATTGCTTGCCGGAAGCTGTTGAGTCGATTTGGGGAAAAGTTCTCCACTTTTCCGCCCTTTTGGTGTATCACTTAATTTGTCTTGGGGGTGCCTGGTCAAGAGCAGCCTGGAATTTTTTCTGCCAAGAACAGGAACCCCATTTCCTGTCGTGTTCGTCGACCGCGCATTTTAATATCTGCAGGGATATCGTGGTTCTAAGTGAGTTTTGAAATAGTAGTATTAAGGTGCAGAGCGTGCTGTGGCCCGCTTTCTAATGCTGCAATCATTATCCAAATGTCTTGTGTAAAACCATCCCATGGCTCGGGATCAAGGATGGTCTCAAGTTCCGGTTTGTTGGCCCGTACCATCTGCGAGGGAATTGAACATAAAAACCCACCCAGTAACAGGGGGTTAACAGGGGGGTTGAAACTGGAAATCGCAGGGGTCGTGGTAACTTGCGGGGATGTCACGAGACTTCAAGAATTTCTCGTCCTTTAAAAGCATTTCTCGATTTCTCTCCTTCTTTCATTAACTTCAAAATGGCAGTGACTTCATGCTAGCACGTGACCCCCCTTCAGCCACCCCTGTGATTTCCAGTTTTAACCCCCCTGTTGGGAGGTGGGTTTTTATTGTTTATTTCCATGGTACCTAGTTCAAGTTTTTTATACTGGGGCATCAAGTGTCGCCCCCACCAGCCCTACCACAACGACGCCAGACAGGCACTGGCGGAGTCAAGGTTGCATGTCAAGAATTGGAGGTAATGTTATTAGCCCTTTCTCGCAATATACCTATCGTTTCAGGGCATCGACTTGTTACAGTGTTACTTTGATCTACGTGTTTGCTTCTCAACACAAACATGACAGTGTGACTACATTGCTGGCCGCGACGACTGGGCTGAACGACAGTACTCCCTCATCGTCCTACGCATGTGTTGCACATCCGCCATCCATCGCCAAGTGGCGCTACCAACCCACCCTGCCGTCATATCGAAACACCGCGACACATAATACCCCGGGCTCTTCCGCTCGTGCGGAGGTGATGCCGAGAGCCGGTGCGGAGGTTGGGGAAGACTGCGGAGATGAGACCGGGGAGCATCCGGACACACCCGACGTCGACGACCTGCCCCACCGCCGCGTCCAGGAATACGGACGGGCATGCATGCCGCAGGAGTATACTGTACAGTCCAAGTGCCTGCATCTGTGGTTCCGATCCTCTTGCGTAAATGGGGAGTGTAACTGTTTGTTGGCACTGACAAAAGTGCGGGAGAAGTCGGAGCATTGCCAACTTGGCATGACCATAATGATATCGGGACTCCGGATCCAGGTGTCGGGAATTCGGCAGCACAGTTCGGGGTTTTGCGGACGCGTAAGTGGCGGGCCGAGACCGGCCGAGTGTCGATATGGATGCCGCCTTGTGAAGATCCAAAACGGCCTTCTCTCCAACGCGGACAGCCGTTCATCTTTTGTTGTCTCGGCGTCTAAGCGGTGGTTTTGTGGGGCCGGAATGTTGCCCAAAAAAAACACACAAAAAACCCCGCAATATCAAGCACACGCATGACGCGGATGGCACAATTACTTGATTGGCCCGGGTGGCTCAATGGTAGAGCGTTGGACTTCTAAGACTCGTTTGGGCCAGCCATGGTTCGTGATGCGGAAGGCTATCCAAAGGCTGCGGGTTCGAGTCCCGCCTTGGGTGCGAGATTTTGCTTTTGCTGCTTTTGCTTTTGCTGCCTGCGAGACCCCGCACCCTCCGCGGTGCGCCTTCCAATCCGTCACGTCATGTTAGTGCTACCAACCTGAAGGAACGCGAACGCTGCTTCCTTTTTGCAACTATCCTCCCATAAACCTAAAATTCCGCAGCGCGACGGCTGGAAAAATCTTTCCAGTTTCTCGTTAAACTATTTATGTCGTCTGGCCTCTGCTTTTAGCCAACCTCCATCCTTTTTGTTTCCTCCCTGCACCTCCGGCGTCTGCAGCCAAATGACTTTCCCGCAAGGTGGGTCGCTCACTGCCCCGTTAGCGCGGGCGGCGCGGGCGCTCCCACACAACCTGGGTGCTCACTGCTGCTAAAAATTGCCCACTCCCGCACCCACCGCCTCGCACAAGCGTGTGCTGACGAGGCGCAGCCCGGCAACCTCAGCAGTGCCATCAGCACCATCATCCTTTAAGCGACCACTTCCGCGGCCTCGCTCTCGCCTCCGCGCTTTTGCGGGCTTGGCTCACCTCCAATTATGGTGGCATTCACTGCTCATCGCCATGGGTCGCTCCTTAGCCCTAGCCTCGTGGAACAACCCCCTGGACAGCCAAGCAGGTGGTGAGCAGAAGCGCGTTCCACGGTGTTGCTTGAGCGTAGCCCAACTCCCGCCCTTCGCCGCCCTTGCGCCTTGCCGCCGCTGCTTCGCCAACATGTCGCACACCGGGCTACCTGTCGTCATGATTCCAGACGGTATAATATTGCAGCAAGCTGCTGTGTTGTTATTCCCATCTTGACTTTGCTGTCTTTTCTCCTTTTTCTTCTCCAGTTTTGCCCTTCTCCTATTCTTGGTCCTCGCAAGTGCGCCAATCACGCTTTTCTTTCTTGGGAGCGAGCTGCCAAGGCATGCCGCCAGTCCCTACCTTGGCCGATACACGCAGTTTACGACACATAGACCAAACCAACCTATCATGAGAATATTGAGCGATGTGCGCCATGCTACCCCAGCAAGCGCGCCACGGCAAGCGCGCCACTACTCTACCCTGATACTCGTTGCCTTTTATATACCTGTTACCGTTGTGCCGTGGGCCGCCAGCTGCGTCCTTAGCACGAGGCCCATCACACCCGGCGCTGCGACCTACGAGGACTCCCGGGGCCGCCTCTCCCCTTCGGATCTGGCCTCTGTCGGCATCTGGATGACGGCTATCCGCGCCCTCGATACGATAGCCGCCGTCCTCGCCATCCCAGTCGTGTCAGCCGTGCTGTCCCATGCCGCCGTCGTGGTTGCCCAACGCAGGAGCGCCACACAAAACCTCAACGTCCGCCAGCTTCTCTCGCTGGCCGACGGGCCTTGGACTAGGCTAAAAAGAAACTACTCGACAAAACTGTCTGCGCTGGGGCTTGCTCTTGTGATCCACAGTGGGTGTCCCCTACACCAACCAAGATGACTGTATCGCCCCAACTGGCTAACAACACTGCAGGCATTGTCTTGCCCTTCACTCGGGCTATCCTAGCTGCTCCAGAGGTCATCACTGTTGCTTCGTGTCTCGAAGACCCCTCCCTACAGTTCACAGGGCCGGGCTGTGACGCTGCCGTGCCTCGCGCTTACGCCCTCGCCGGCTTTGACCCTGAGCCCGCCGACATTGATCGTCTCCCCCGGGATTTGGCGGCAGCACGTATCGCAAGCAGGCTCGCAAGCGAGAGCAGGACGCAACCACAACTGCACTTATGGAAGGAGGGATCGCAAGAAGCTTCATCTTCTATCGCCGACCTCGCCTCTCGCGGCTCTGGGAGTCCATTTTTTGTGTCCTCCATTCCGGCCGGCACCAACACGGGCGTCGTGCGTCAACACGCCATGAGGCTCGATTCAAAAGTCAAATGTTCGCTCGTTGGGGTGGGGGAATATCCGGAGAATTGTCCTGGCGATCAGCCGCTGGTAGGAGCCCTAGGAAATGGTGATGGAACAGTCAAGTTCTGTGTGCCGGGGGCGCAGGGTGCTGCCGCCTGGACCCTCAGCCGAAACTCCCAGAAAATACAGGAGCACGTTTTCCTAGCCAGTTGGGCTGGGCCGAACATGGGAGATTCCACGGCGCAGTCACCGCGCGCCAACTTCACTGCGAGGTGCGACGCCGAGACGACAAGGGGTTATTTTGAACTCCCGAACAAATACAACGGCGCTCGCCCCGGCCCGCTCCTTGCCAGATGGCCCAGCGCTGCCGAACTTCAGGAGCAAGGGTCTGGTGATCGGCTGCCTAACGGCGCCGTCCCCGTCGAGACGTAAGTCTGCAAATCCCTAGACTCGTTGGTGCGTGCCAAGACTAACCAAGATGTCTAAAAAGTGACTCTGCTGAAGCATCTGGCCCATCCCGGCCGCCATTCCCAGCCGTGTCGTCTCCTTTTGGAACTAGCAACCTCCGCACGCCAGGTCCGCTGATGAGTACATTCCTCTCGGCTCTTGGCGATGGCTCTTTTTTGCACCTCGCAAATGAGACCTGGGTGACAGGCCAAGGCCGGGCTGTGCTGAGAGGCATCTGCTCGCGCGGCCTTCCTTTCGCCTCTCTCTGGCCTTCTCAGGGCCCGCCAGTTACCGAATGTGACGCCGTGGTAGGCGTCTCTGACGGTGCCGCCAATGAGCTCATCTTGCGCCTTGTCCTCGACTGGTTCGCCAGGTTCGACCCGGCCACGGAGCAGGGACGCAGCAACGCCGAAGCCACGATCTCTGCAGGCATGTACCTCGCCAACGAGGCCATGCTGGTCTTGACCGCCGAGGCAATGCGGGGCAAGGCTGGTCAGGCAAGCGATACAGCTGCCGTGGGCTCACGTCGCGTATACAGCGCCCAAGGCACCGCCATCGTCAAGCCTCGAGACATCGGCCTCCCTGCTCAGGCCATCGTGTCTTTGCTTCTCGCTCTGCAGCTGGCGGTGCTGCTTGCGCTCGCGGCAGTCGCGTCCTGCTCACGGACTACCAGCGACAGGCTGGATGCGGCGATGATGCTTCTGGCTGGGGCTTGCTTACGCGACGAGCTGCTGAGCGAGCCCGCTGCTCATTCCGTCTCTGCGTCGAAGCTAGGGGATGTGGACGCCAGCGCCGCATTGAGACTTGGTGGTGACCGCGGCCGCCATGGGGATTTGGTTGAGGAGGACGACGGCTTCCTGCTCGCGCCCCCCGAAAACGACCGCCATACGATGCACCCATCCCGCAGCCAGACGCCGTCGCCGCCCCCACCGTCACACGCAGGCCCTTACAAGGCATACATGGCGCCACCGAGCAGCAGCAGTATGCTACCAACTGTTGAGCAGGTGTTATCGGCGCGGCCAACGACTTCACGAGACCCTTCGCCGCTCGGGCGCCGGGCCTCGGTGCATCTGCAGTGGATCCGGCACGGAGAAGAGGCAGTGGCCACCGAGGCACCGGTTCCCTTGGGACGCACGCAAGCGCCGTCTGCGGGTGAGGCGGGCGGGGTGACGCCGCCGCCGACGGGCTACCATCATCACATGGAGGGACGCAAGTCCCCGACACGGGGGCCATATGCCTTCCACATGCCGGGTTCTTCCAGACATGTAGAACCAAGCATCGAAGACGGTGCGGAGCAGGAGGGGGTGCCACGAGAACCTCCACCGCGGAGTCCCAAGAGGAACCGAGCAGCATCAAACCCGGGCACGACGCCAGGCCCGTTGCAGCTTCCGTCCATGGACGCGGTGAGCCCCATGTCGGATGATGGGAATGCGAAAAGGTTTTAGAATATCACAAATTACACAATGACTATTTCTTTCACATCATGTTCATGAAAAAGATGCTCGATGCTGAAAGCCGATGCTATCCCGATTCCCGCAGTCGAGGTGCATATAAACGACTGCGACGCCGCTCCTAGCAGCCGCGACGGCGTCGGCGTCAGAATCGAGCTTGGCCTCGGCGTAAACCCTTGAATACTCGCCATCTTCCTCTCCTATCGGACCCCAGGGTGCATGAAGGCGGAACGAGGCTGCCGTCTTGCACTTGCGCAGCTGGCGGACCGACTTCACGAAGGCGCGCACCTCCAAAACCCCGTGGATGCCGCATGGCGGCCCAAGGCTCAGCCCAGGCCTCCACTCGTACGCATCGAAGTCTTTGAAAGCGTTGTTGGCGAAGCGGTGCGGGACGAGAGGGCTCGCTCCTGCATGGTCTAGCCCCTACTATTCCACTTGGAGGCGCCCACGGCGTGCTCCCGCCTCGACGCCCTCCAGGATCGGCGGCCGAGGATGAAGCTGCCTTCCACGACGCCGCTACCCCCGCCCCCGAACAGCTGGCCGTTTGCGCTGTTGACCTTGACGGGGGTAGAGCACCTTCAGGGCAGGTATCGGGTGGTTGGTTCGGCGGAGGAAACCGTCTTCAGTCGAGGTCGTCGACGTGGCCGCCAGGGTAAAGACGGCATGGCGGAACACTTGATGCATCAGCGCGGCCTCTGCCTCCCAGTCGGCGGGGGAGTCCTGGACGATGCACAGCGAGTCGGTCCAGAGATGGCGAAACCCGAGGCGCGCTGCTCTATTAGCTTGAGGCCCGTGACGACAACCTCAGCTTTGCTGGCGTGCCACTCGATCTCGATCAGCCTCGTCAGTGTCTACAGCGAACGGTCTGGAGAGCCCGGGTGGTTGGAGATACAGTCGTCGATCCATCCCTGGATCATGCTGACATTTTGGTCAGACAGGGCGTCGGCAGAGAGCAGCCCGGGCCTGTTTTCCGTCTTGAGTGATTCCAAGCCTGCAGCCGTGTAAGAAGAGTTGACGAAGCCGGTGCAGGAGCAGAGCTCGTTTTACCTGTCAAGTCCGGGACTCCAAAGTCGACGATGCTGCCGAGCCATGTCCGAAAGCGGCCGTGATACGGGTATTGCAGGGGGTTGCGCGGCTCATATTCCAATCTCAGCGACGTTATCACGCGGCCCTTTGCGGCTGGCCAAGAGCTCGTTTCTACGTCGTCGTGTTGGAATTCTATCGAGGTTCCAAAAGTTACCGTGACCTGGACGGTGCCGTCCCGCAAGCCAAGTGCGATCAGGGTTGGGAGTATGCTTTTGCCGTCGTCGCCCACGGCCCTCTCGTTGTCGACGTGGTCTTCCAATAGGGCCTTTGCGGACACGTGGGAGCGGAGGGCAAGCCTGAGGCACCCGGCGGCGGCGGCGGAGGCTGGCAGCTTTGGATAGTGTGGAAACCGATCTACGAGTTTGTATTGAGTCGGTATTAGGTTGCGGTCTGCGGCAGACCGCGAACGGAGGCTCGACCAGCGGGAAAGACGTGTGAGCACAGGCAATAAAGAGTGCAGCGATTCTCAATATGGCCAGCGAGGGACATGGGCTTTGTGCGGCAAAACGGGTGCTGACAATGGTGTGCGTTTGTTGGTGCGGCGGGCCTCGCATTGCTGTGCGAAGACCGCTCAAGGCCCCACACTGATTTTACCTTGGCTGCCGTGCTTCCCGTCGCTGACGGCAAGGCATTTGTCTCAGTTGTTGGCCCTCGTCGCCGGCCCGTTTGAGGGTGGTAACAGCTAGGCGAGAGGCCCAATCAGAGCCGCGGGGGTTTTGCGAAAGAGCAGTCAGCAGCAGGGGTCGCAGCCCCACCACCAGACATTGGCATTGGGCATTGGGGGCCTCATGCTCTCCACGGGGCGGCTTGGGGTTGGCCGTAGTTGGTTGGAACACACGGTAGGATCGCATCCCCTGCCGCGCATACCTGAGCCACGCTTGGCGAGGGCGGCAGTGATCCGCACCCTTTCTAGTCTAGAGGCCAGCGGCGGCGGGCTCTCTCCCCCAGGAGCTTCCTTGTTGTCGTCGCTTTTCGTCCTTTACACATTCCTTTTGGCTTCCTTCCCGAATTCCTCGTGTAATCCAACGAGGCGCAAATGCCATTTCCTTGGCCCGAATGACAACTACGAACCGAGGCCAGCAGCCCACGATGGCGAGGACGCTCGCGCTGGCGGCGTGCCTGCTGGCGGCGCGGAGCGCGCAGGCGCAGTCGGTCGAGGCGCCGAGCCGAGAGAACTTTTTGCGGCGCGAGGGCCACACGGTGGCGGTGCTGGGCGAGCACCTCTACATCGAGGGCGGCGAGCTGTCGCAGATGGCCGACGGGCGGCGGGTGGGGTCGTGGTCGGAGCCGACCAACACGACGCTCGCCATCCCGCTCGCCAAGTCCTGGACCACGCGCGACGTCGCGTTCGAGAGCATCCCGCACGGCGACGACGCGCCCTACACGCGCATGGGCGCGCTGTGGGCGGGCACCGACAACAAGACCCTGTACGGCTGGGGCGGCACGAACCCCTTCAACGTCATCAACGAGGGCTCCATCAAGACGCGGCTGCGCGTCTTTACGAAGAGCAGCGACGGCGCCGCGGCGGGAACCTGGCGGAACGAGCCGCCCGACCCAAACATCCTGCGCACCCAGGTGGGCGCCTCGACCAGCTGCAACGGCGCCGGGCTGGCCATGAGCGGCATCGGCAGCCTGTGGAGCGACAGCCGCGTGCCGCCGCGGTACGGATACCGGGACGTGCTTGCGACGACGCGAGCGGTGCAGGGGCTCGTTATCTACAGCATGGACAGTCGCACGTGGTCCAACGAGACGCAGGACGAGTCTTCGGGGTTCCGGGTGCCATTCGGGCCGCGGCGACGCGCGGGCGTCGATGACGGCGCGGCCGTTTGTTTGGGTGGCGGCGGCGGCGAGAAGGTCGGCACCAACGGGCGCGGCGTCGCCTTTTTTCTGGGCGGCACGCAGGGCGAGGTGGTCGAGGGCAAGAACCCGCAACCCATCGACTTTGGCGTCGTCAACCTGTATGACGTGGCGACGCGCACCATGCACTCGCAGACCACGACGGGCGACCGACCCGAGGGCACCGTGGCGGGCCACTGCGCCGTGGTGGCGGGCGGCGGCAGCAGGGGGTCGTACGAGATCTTTGTGTCGGGCGGGCGCGGGCGCAGCCCCGGCGAGGTCTATATCCTGACGGTGCCCGGGTTCCGCTGGTTCAAGGCGCCGCAGGGGGCGGTGGACGACTCGGACCGGTGGCGGCACAGGTGCGCGGTTGCGGGCCGCGGCGGGAGGCAGATGATCGCCGTGGGCGGGCTGCCGTCGCGCGCGCAGGACCCGTTCGGCAGCAGGGACCCCTGGGCCAACGGGCTCAAGGTCCTTGACATGACGAGCCTGACGTGGGGGGACAGCTACAACGCCGACGCGCCGGCGTATGAGGCGCCCGAGATGGTGCGCAAGTGGTATTCCGAGTCGTATCCGTGAGTGTTTATCTACCTGCCTACCTGTCTGCCTGCCTGCCTGCCTGCCTATATATCCCAGGGTGATGAGGGGACACACGACTAACACGCAGCATCAGCGGCCGAGATGCCTTCAAGTGGGACCGCGACGACACCAAGGCGCTTTTTGCACAAATGCCAGCCATTACAAACAGCAGCGGCGGCAGCTCGTCGCAGCCCCAGGACGAGTCCAAGCCCGGCGGTTCCTCCACGTCATCCTCGGTGCCCCTGGGTGCCATTATCGGCGGCGCCGTGGGCGGCGTGGTCGCCCTCGCCGCCGTCGCGGCAGCGGTCTGGTGGTTCTGTTTCCGGCGGCGGAAGCAGGCGCAGCAGGACCCGCAGGACCACGAGTCGTCGGCTGGCGAGACGTCGGCGGCGCTGGGCCAGGCGCACGCGGCCATGTGGGAGAACAAGGCCGGCGGCACAGGGGCGGGTTACGGCGACAACAAGCCGCCGCTGGCCGAGGCGCACTCGGAGGTGAGCCCCAGCGTGCTGGGAGGGACAAGTCCCAGCATGCTCGAGAACACGAGCCCCAGCATGCTCGACGCGGGCAGCCCGCGCGTCTACCACGAGATGAGCGGCGACATGTACCACGGACACGAGATGCCCAGCCCGCCGCCCGCGCTGGAGATGCCCACCCATGAGGCGAGGCCGCAGGAGCTGGGGCCGGGGCCGGGTGTCAAGTTTGACTCTTTTCCGCAGAGGTAGCGAGCGGTGCGGGACGGGGGGTGAGATGCACTGCAGTCTGCGACCGCGCTCATGATGCCAACTGGGGAGTGGCCGAATCATCCGCCCACGGGTCCAGTGGCCAAATGGCAAGGCGCTTGACTACGAATCAAGAGATTGCAGGTTCGATCCCTGCCTGGATCGTGTATTCATTCACTTCTTTGTCTTTTTGCGACCTGTAGATTCCCCCGCCATAGCGTTGCAGCGACACACTGCATATAATTATCCAATGTAACACTTGTAATCCATAGTCCACAATCCGTGATGCCATTGCCAAGTCGCGACACCTTCTAAAAGCACAAACCGCTGTCCAGCCTCCGTGCGGGGTTTAAGCCAACCCCTGAACCCAAGAGCCGCCGGATAATTTGGTCCTCCAACCAGACATGGCGGAGGATTTAATATGTCCGCGCTAGTGTCCGCCCAGACTGCCGCGCGGGATGTGGCCCTCCGTCCGGGGAAGGAGAGTAGGAGACGGACGGGCATACAAAATAGCCAGCGAATCATGCCCGCCGGGCCGTGAGGCTCCTAGAGTCCTACTGTCCTAGCACCCCAGGCCCCCGCGACTTTGCCACCGCAACCACAACCACAACCACAGCCCACCATGGTCAAGCTCCTCTTCCTCTCGGTCGCCGCCCTCGCCCTCGCCGGGCAGGCGCAGGCTCAGTGCGGCTCTGGGTCCCCCCACGCGCGCGTGACGGGGTCGGGCAGCTCCTTCACGGCCACGCGCGGGTCCAGCACCGTGTACCAGGGCGGCGACTACCGGGCGGCCATCCAGGCCGCGCTCGACTCGGTGTCGGCCGGCCAGCGCGTGGCCGTCATGGCGTCGGGCTCCATCGGCGCGGGGACCATCAGCATCCCCGGCGGCCGGATCCTCGAGGGCTGCGGCACCATCAACGCCGTCTCCCGCAGCGGCCGCGGCGCCATCGAGGCCACCGACGTCCAGGGCGTGCAGATCCCCTACCTGACCATGACGGGCAACCCGTACTTTGGCCTGCGCTTCTCGGGCACGCGCGACCTGACGCTGGGCGCCATCACCATGAACCTGAGCGGCGGGCTGGGCATCCAGTTCGACCGCGACCGCGCGCCCAACTACAACGTCAAGATGGGCGTCATCACCGTCACGGGGGCCGGCAGCCACGCCGTCGAGACGTGGAACATTGACGGCCTGACCATCGATCGGGTCATTGCCCGCAACGTCGGCGAGTCGGGCCTGCTGCTGCAAAAGACGACCAACGCGCGCGTCGGGCTGGTGGACGGCAACAACGTCGGCGCCGGCACGGGGTACGCGACGCTGCGGTTTGCCAATAACAATGGGCAGAACCCCAACGGCAACTGTGAG